CAGGAGCAATTGATGTACTGGTTGCGTACAGGACGCGCACAGCAAGCTGATTCCGGGCTCGCATGATAGGCGCGGGAAGGCTGGAAATGTGGTTCAGTGCTCTTCTACGTCTAAGTAACGATACATAGAATCATGATTGTTTTTGTTTGATCATCAGCTCCCAAGTGGCTGCTTCGACTCAGGCTACCTTCTCTCTAGCCGATATTCTTAGACGACGCAAGCTACAGCTCTCCGTGCGCGGACGGAGAAAAAAACACCGTAGGAGTTATGCCTATGGCTAGCTTCTCACTCAGGAGTAGCTGCTCTCTGTCTGCTGTGAGCGAGGACAGTTGAGCTGCATTCGGCGAATGCCGTTCACGATCAATCGCATCAATGACGGAACTCAACCTCGCGACCACGCTCACCTTCGACGCTCGTTTAACACTTCTCAACTCGAGCCCCTAATGCTTCAGATACGGCTATGCACTTGAGAAAATCTCGCAAGCCTGTCAACAACACTTTTAGTGATCCTATCGGCGACCGCAACACTGCAGAGTAGCTTTCAAACTCCAACGAGTGCCACAGCCGTATCTTGCGCTACATATGCGTTGATCACTGGGCTCAGTCGCTCAAAGTCACAGCGGCGCCTATGCGGGTGCTGATCTTCGCTCACTCTGAGATCTCGTCCGCAGACGAAGCCCATTGCTCATCTTCAACGGTAGTGGAGCGGGCAATGAGCGTCTCCGAGTCGATTGCGCGATGGTGCTGGTAAGAGAGAGGTATATCATGATTATATTATCATCTTTCCCTTCTCCTCAGTAACTACTATCTGTGCAATGAGATCAGGACTTCGAAGAGACCACGGATTGTCTGCTATCGCTGATACCAAACATCCCTCGATCCCTCGCTCGCGTTCCTGACCGCCTGCCTTTGGCATACCTTACCCGACCAGAAACCTTACTCAAACGCAGGTATGGCTAACACAGTGACTTGTATGGTGAGATTAGCTAAGCACTTTTCTGCGACTTGCAAAGTCATCACTCTATGTTTCTCGGCATCAAAGCTGTGCTCCTTGCCCTCTTTCGCCGTTCTTCTCCAGCGGCGCCACAGTCTACAGACCTACTCGATATCCTCTCCGACCCGTCCTCTAAACGCGACGCACTTATTATGCGAGACTACCTCGACTACCGTAACCCGGGCAGCACAGTGGCGAACGCGCGCGCTTTCACGCGTTATGTCTTTAAGAAGAGGGAGAGGGAGACCCGGCGGCTGTGCGAGGCCAAGAAGCCAAAATCGGTCCCTACGAATCCGCCTCTTGGCTCTGTAGGTGCTGGGAAGGGGCCGGTCAATGTACGAGGAGATTTGACTCCAAGGGAAGGACGCCCGGAGGATTGCGCCAGAGCGGAGTCGGCGCGTCGGTATGTGCTATATCTTTGTCTATTATCGGCCCCCCTTCTGGCTCCAACGCTAAATACTCTGTAGATCTCGGAAGTCGCGTACCGTGCTTCACGAGAACCGCACAGACTCGCGTGCTCAGCTTGCGCAGGAAGCCGCGAACGGCCGAGGAGTGTGAATTTGGAAGGTGCTGGACTTGGGAATTGGGATATGTGACTGATGAATAGGAGCTTCATATGAGTGGAATGTAACTGTTGCATAGATCTAGTCTCGTCTGTTCTTCGTTGATATCTGTCTTACGTACTTATACTTGACTCGGTAGATTGGCTCTGTTATCTTGCATACCATGGACTATGAGGATTGTCGCCTATGTTCTGTGTGAACTCTACATGGTCCCATTTCTGATCAATGCAGCTGCGAGCACGGAGTGGTGGTAATTCCGGGCTTTCTCTCTGCGGACGCGCGACGCGCTAATGACGCGCTCGGTTTGCGGACGCGTTCTAGCAGGTCGCGTGACCGCGCCTTCGGCTCGGCTCGTCCGCTTTCGGCCTCAATGATTACTGTAACTCTCACTAGTTACAGATGTTCTACATAAGCTATCGGTCTCACATCGACTACTGTACTCACTGGGGATGCGCTTTAACCTCCCTCTCTTCACAACCTTTCTGTATGATCTCTCCCGTGGTCGGCAAACCCGCCGTGCCTGTATGAGCGACCTGCATCACCATCCTGGCTGGGATCGGACTTGATCTCGGAATCGACACCAGACCAGGAGTCGAGTCCAGTAATGATCATGAATGGATTTATATCGACATTAAATCCGAACTTTGGGTTCGAGCTGTGAGCTGGTGCGAAGTAGATCCTTGCATGTTACGCGTATTTTCTGGTCGGAAGTGTGAGTGCTCGCACAGAACTGAACTCGTCCCCATCCTTGGCCTTGGACCCAAGAACTCTGCTGAAACTCGAAGTCGAAGGGAACGAACCCACGCTAGAGCTCGACAGCCCGTACTATCGAATTATCGGATTATCGGACTCGGACCAGCCACAACTCGGACTCGGACTCGAACAACTCACACCTGCGCTAGAGCTCGACAGACCCGAACTATCGGACTACCAGATTTATCGGACTCGGACTCGAAGGACTCAAACCCGCGCTAGAGCTCGACAGACCCGAACTATATCGAACTACTTGATCATCGAACTCGGCCCGGAACTCGGGCTCGGACTCAGACTCGAAGGACTCAGGCTCGGACTCGAACACTCACACCTGCGCTAGAGCTCGACAGACCCGAACTATCGGACTACCAGATTTATCGGACTCGGACTCGAAGGACTCAAACCCGCGCTAGAGCTCGACAGACCCGAACTATATCGAACTACTTGACTATCGAACTCGGACCGGAACTCGGGCTCGGACCAGAACTCGGACTCGGACTCGAAGGACTCAGACTCGGACTAGAGGTCGGGAGTTCAGGGAGGCGGATCCGGGGTCGGGTTTCGGGCTGGGTTTCGGGTCGAGTTTGCTCTCAAATCCGACGCAAATCCGCCTCCACAGGCGGGTTTCCGCGTCGATTTGGCCTCCCGACTCGAACCCCCAACTCAACACCCTGAACACCCCTACTCTATTGAACTACTGGATTTTCGGACTCGGACCAGAACTCAGACTCAGACTCAAAAGACTCAGACTCGGACTAGACTCAGACTCAAAAGACTCAGACTCGGACTAGACTCAGACTCGGACTGCGGTACGATCGGACTGAGGCTTTAAATAAACCAACTGTTTGCTTGTAAGTCTGGCTTTCGGACTCGGCCGATAGAGATTTCTCCTAGAAAGGAAACCTGAAAGCCAGACTTCTGGGACAGGGCAATGAAGATTGATATTCCTGACCATTCAGTACAGGATGCACTCGTTTTTATCCGAGCCCTCCTTGACTATGGACAACAGGCGCTCATTCATAGACTTCGGATCTGTCTTGTAAGTCGTGACGTGGACTAGGAATCAGCTGGACTAGAGTATCATAATGTGTCGCCGTAACCCCCATGCCCTTTACCGGTAACCTTCACTGTGCGGGCTTTTTACTGCCCCACGCGTGTACTGTATCAGCCAGCGCCACTCCTCATGGGACTGGTATCAATCTTGCTTAGAGCGTTGGCTGGCTAGCTCAAGTGCGGCGGGTAGCACATGCTCGCGTATGACGCGTGCACCGAACTGGGCACCTTTGCTTGGAAGGCTGGAGAACCAGGAACCAGGTGTGCACGTTTATGAGAAATGTCGGTCACGCTTGGCTCTGATGTGACAGACAGAAGGGGGATGCCTGTTTCCGCCTAGAAGGTGACGAAGAAGGGGTCAAAGATTTATGGTCGGAAGGCGGAGAGAAAGGGGGTTACATTTTTTCCCTTTCGTGGCTGCAAAAAAGGGGTCAATGAAGCAGTCTATCCCCTTTCTCGGCTTAATCCGGAGATTTGAACCATCGACGGCCGTTGCCCACTTTCCATGGCGCTTTCCAGAGGCATTCAGTCGAAAAGGGGGCTGAATACTATTTCTGAAAGGGGCCGAGAAAGTCGGCGGTAAATGGGATTTCAACCATTATCTGAGACAATCGGTAGGTACATGACTAAAAAGGGGGCAACGTTCTTTTCACCGTCCTTTCTGGACAACTGACACATCATGATTCCGTCCATAAAGAGGGTATGAAAGAGGTTGAAGAGGGGGCTGCCTCAATTATACAGACTTTGAGGCCCAAAGGCGATTGAAAAGGACCATGGGTCAATTCTACTCCCCTTTCTAGACAACTTCATGCCGCAAAGAGGAAGGTTCCTTTTCGGGGAAAGCCCCCTAAAGAAACTTAGTCTACTTCTCCCCCTCCTTCTTTGTCATCAATCACGTAGAAATCTTCACCTTTTTCTACGCCCCTTTTTACACTCCTTCTCGGCTGAAGGGGCCACCGGCGCTTCCTGTGGAAGCACTGGTACTGGTGGTTGGGAAGAAGAGCAGCGGGTCGCGTAGCGTTCGCGCTCGGCGTTCGGTGTTCGGCGCGACGTGACCGAGCGAACGTCCCGGGCCGGTGCCCTTCCATCTAGAACCGACTCCCCGCGCTGAACTGAGCAGCCTGCATCCTACGTCGATGACTCCTCGCATACAAATGATATTCTCAGTGCATCAACTTCAGCAAGCTACTCGCCTAGCATGTACTCAACGTGAAACTGCTCTATCACGGGTTCATGTACCTCAGACTTGAAGGAGGATGGACGGCATTCGCGCTCGATACAGTGCTCACACTTCTACACCTCTGAGTAGTGGGACCCGCATGGAAGAGAGAACCGGCGCTTGACTGCCTAAGCCTACACCTCACTAGAGCCGCCAACAAGAGCTCATCCGACGAGCACAGGGACTTCGGCGCACTGACAAGAACAGGGGTTTCGGCGCTACGACGAGAATCCCCACTTACTCTTCCGTCCAGAGCTTGTCCCCTACCACCACATCGCCTATACGTAACCCAGCCTGCGTCGCATACACCATGCCATCGCCCCCAAAAGCCGATTACGCTCTTCTTCCCCTCCACGACAGCCCTCCGCCCGCGTATCCCGCCCTGCCGCAGAACCACACAACAACACAGGGGCCCGAGCCGACCACGTCGTCGTCGCATTCGGAGAGCGGTTCGCACGATGGTATGTACACTGCCCATCACCAATCGCACTACTTTCCCCGACACGAGCCTGACATACAGTCGTGTTTGCAGCGTCCCGCGACGAGGACCTGCGCGCACGCATGTACACTGACGTCTGTGCAGCCGCCGCCGGCTTCATCGTGGTGCTCTGTACCACCGTCGGGAGCTTCATCGTGGTGCTCGCTACCACCACCAGCGACGTCTTCGCTGCCGCCTGCGGCTTCCTCGTGGTGCTCTGCGACACAGCCAGTAACATCGTCGCGAGCGGCCATGTGAAGTACTTCGTGATGATGGGCGTGGCGGCGGCAGTTGTGTATGTGATAGCGCCCAAGGCGTTGGCGCTGTACCATGAGCTCTTGGCCGCTGGTGGGCGGGCGCACGCTGCTTGAGGTGCGTGCGTCGGCTCGTTCGCTCGTTCGTAACGTTAAAGTCGACCTCATCCCGCATGCCTACAGACTCGACTCCCCGGAGTTGACTGCGCCGGTTTGAGCAAGGCATTGGGCCAGGTGTTCGGCCTCCAACCGTCGTTTCATGCTGCCCCCCTTTTTGAATTTAATATCGGCATCGGTCCTCGCACGGACAATGGCACTCCCTCCGTGCGCGCTCCCTCCACCTCATCTTATCACTGCCTACTGCATATATTCTTTCCCCGCCTGTATCATCTACCCATTGCCCACAACCTATACAGCCCCCTCACCGCTCACCTGTATCTTCTCACGCACGGTCGACTGTACTCCTACTGCCCACTTACCGTACTGTATCACCTCCGAATCCTTACCACGTACCTATCGCTCGCATCATGTCATCATGTCGAGTCTACCTCGACCTACCAACCAGATACATTCTATCCTAGTATCCACGCCAAATCCCATCCTCTCAGCGTGAGCCGGACGCCACGACGACCGACTCGTCGCGAACCACCATCGTGCCCGATTCTGATTCAAGACTGCAGCGACACAACCGTACCCATTATCATTTTCAAAGCTGCCGTGGGTGTCGGCGCGATACTGCTTATACAAACCAAACATCATCCTCGTTGCAGCTCTCACAAACGCAGCTCGCCGCGACAGTGACTCGCGCAATCATCTCGCGTAGCAAATCCGAGTTGAATCGTCAATTGTAGATCGTCTCGTAAAGTAAAGTATCCAATCCGCGTTGAACGTTCCCCACAACACCACCAACACCACATCAATAGATCGCTAATCCTCCTTCTCCCGCACGCCCCCCAGCCTCTCCCCAACCCTCACCTTCTCCCCCGCCCTTACCGCAAACTCAAAGCTCGCGGGCGCCTCAAACACAAGCACGACCGTGCTCCCCAGACAAAACCCGCCCATCTCCTGGCCCTGCCGCAGCGGCTGCCCATGCAGCAACTGGCTCGCGCCGTCGTACACCGCCTCCTCGTACGTCCCCGGCCTCTGCCTCCCCTCCCCCCGCCTAACACGCACATTCGTCCGCAACTCCTTATCAAAGTTTATCTTTATAGACCCGACATTCGTCGCGCCCACGGGGATCATGCTGAACGCGCCGTACCGCCACCGCCCCAGCAGCGCCACGCGCTCATTAAGCACGAACAGGTTCTCGAGCCGCCGCGCAATGTACGGGCTCACGCTAAACAGCTCGCCCGTGAAATGTCTTCGCTTCTCCACGACCCACGCCGCGGGGCTGTGGAACCGATGGTAGTCCCCCGGCGCGAGATACACGACCGTGAAGAACAATGCATTGCCCGGCCGCGGCCTCAACCCGTGCCCGCGGTCCAAAGCGGCGCGCACGCCGAGCTCGCGCGCGACGGTCACGTGCTCCGCGACGGTCTCGCTGGCCGGCTGCCCGCTTGCCACGCTCGCGTCGACGCGTTCCCCGGCGCGCTTGGGCGGCGGGTGGCGCTGGTACGCCTCGAGGTCCGCCGGGAAGTCGTTCCGCAATGGTGTGGTCTCGGTCGGTGTGGAGGGCGTGGAGGGCGAGGACGTGCCGAGGAGCTGGTCGAGCGAGTACTCGATCCCGTTCACGTTCGCGAATTCCTCGTCGGACACGGCGCCGAGCTCGCGCTCTGGGAACGCCACGCGGGACGTGGACGCGCGGCCGTCTGGCCTCTCCACACCGAGTAATGCATCAAGGGAGTACGTCAGCCCTTTGACCTGCTCGACGCGCGAGCCCTGCACCATGCCGAAGTGCAGCACCGTGCCGTCGGCCGGAGACACTAAGGGCGCGTCGGCGATGGGGCGCGCGCCGGGCTTGAGGGCGCGGTAGAAGAAGGCGCCGAGGGAGGGGTAGGAGCGCAGGTCGGGCTCCGCGAGCTCGGAGAGGTCGCAGCCGAAGGCCCAGGCGTAGAGGCGGAAGCCGATGGGCCGGAACCAGACGGGGAGCTCGAGCGAGTTGAGGTAGCCCCAGATTCGGGACATGTTGCGGAGGGGGAGCGCGCCGAGGATGTGGACCTGTTACACAGTATATAGTTAGCATTTTGTTCGTAGGATTGAGCTTCGTGGCAAAGTATGGGATTTCAGTCGCGTGAGCTGTACTTGGGTCGCGTGCGCGAATAGACCGGCGACCGCGGAGGTGCCGTGATAGCGATAGCTGGCTGCTGCAGAACATCTCGCACAGCGCGTACACTCCGGCAAAAGCCGAGCCACACCGTCTCGCTTCCATATACGTCTATACGCATCCGGCCCCACTTCCCACAGCCCCCTCAGAAGCGTCGGCCAGCTCACACCGCTCCATCCGAACATACAGAAACAGAAAACGGCGCTCACCTGCCACGGCCCCCTCAACCTGACGACATGCTCGCCGTCCTCGTCGACCTCGACGTCCTTGCTCGCCCTCGCGTTCCGTCTGTACTGGAGGAACACTAGCAGGCACGCGCCGACGAACCACGGAAGCGGGTACCACTTTGTCGGCGTGGTCCTCCACGCGTCCGCGACCCGCTCTAGAACGCGCATCCTTCAGCACAGCCGCACGTCGTATAGAGTGGTAAAATAGAAATGTGGCCGCGGACGAGCGGTCGGCAGACGAAGGAGAAGGGCGAAGGAGGACAGGCACGCACTATATAACGGTCCTGGCGTGTGATTTTTTACGTCGCGACGCGGATCGGTCGAAGGCGGCGGCGTGCTGAGCGGTCGCGCCAGCACGAACTGCAATGGAGAGTACGTGCCGCGTACTCTGAGCGCCGCTCTGGAGGCCGCGGACGTGCGCGGCACGAGACGCAGGGACATGGTGGCGGTGAGGGGTCAACTTGCGCTTTGCCCCACACTGCGGCAGACGCGCTCACGGGACATTACGCAGGTCTGTTTCCGTGACGCGTACTCACGGCATCCCCGTTGCGACTTCACTCTGTCCCACCATGATGTAGACAAACATTGCTCTTGTCCGTATGCATGCGATACATGGGAGAACTCCTCGGTACTGGCGAATGGGGGGATAACCCGCTGCAGTTCCTCTTTTGACAGGTTTACTTTAGCTCCGCCAAGACAGCGTCTGGACTGGCTTCGGCAGCATCATACCGGACGTCTGTTGCTGAGTGGTTGGCATTCAACTACTCTAGTGGTAAGCTCGGTACCGTATATCAGGCGCGCGATTGGCTCCGCCATATAATGTAACTCAGCAGCGCGTTCAGCAGAACTCCGAGACTAGCCCGAGGTATCATGAACCTCCTTTCCCTCGAGATTCTTCTGCGCTGGAGTCACACTACACGCCCAAAACATCGTGACCCTCATTTGACATACTCCAGCTCATGAATCGCCCTCTATTGTCTACAAAATGGAAAAACATCACGCCTAAGCATAGCACGACGTCGACCTTACAGGCGACGATGCCCTGGTCCCAAGCGTCTAGCTTCACGTACGCACGAGCCACGCATTCTGGCATAGTCACCCCGCTCGACATGACTCAGGTTAACTCTGTATCCACTCTCCAAGCGGCAGTCAGACACGCCCGCGTCGTTCAAGGCCTATAGTGTTCTCGTCGATCTTTAGCAGACCTTGCGCGTGCAGCTCCGAGTCCAGTATTGTCAACACCCGCTAAGTATGCGGCGCGATGACGACCGCGCATACACCCACAGAGACACAATACAAGAATCTACGCGCGTCTCAGGCGCTGCAGTGTAAAGTAGGCTCAGGGAGGAATGACTTCCACGAGTCAATCGAGATTGCGCATCTGGATACGGGCAATATGCGGGCTCAGGGCGGCGGAAAGTGCCCAGCCCTGAGCTCAGCGAGCGAGTGCGCCTGGAGGAGAGTATCTCGCCCGCCGTGCTCGTGAGCCGGGGAGACATTCTACGGGGGTCGAATAGATCTCCTTCTGGCTTCTGCAGCGTCAGTAGGCGTAGGCGCTGTATCAGGCGCGCGGAGCGCCGAGACGCGGTCACATGAGACACGCGCGAGACGCGTCGCCGAGCCTGCGCGAAAGGTGCGAGAGGTGGGTTCAGACACCGTTCTCACCGGTTATTGCGTCTACCCTCGGCACAATATTTCATCTTGTTCTTTAGCTTACAAGCCACACCACGCACTTCAGACGAAGTCAAAGAGAGAGAGAGAGATCGTCTATAATTCCATTTCGAGACCAGAAGCACAGATACAAGCACGATACAGTATCACAGTCAAAAGCCAATCCGATCCAAGATGCAACAGTCAAATCCGAATCCAACGAGTCAAATAGTCACGATACAAATACACAGTCCACAATCCCAGATCCAAACAAAGCACAAGTCCGATACAAATACAATCACAAGTCCATATACACATTCTCCTCCTCAGGCTCCATATCCTCAGACTCTGTATCCGAGTACGGGTCCGCGTCCTCATCGACGGAGATCGGCTCGGCGTCCTCAGAGATAGGCTCGACCACTGGCGCTTCCTCATCCACATACTGCACAGGTGCGGGTCCAGCCATAGCGCCGCTCAGCATAAGCTGAGCCTGCATCCTGTCCCTCTGGATCTGCTCCTCCAGCTGCTCCAGACTGACATCGAACGCGCTTGCGCCGTGGTACTCCTTCTTAGTCCTCGGTCGAGCAGCCGGTTGTGGCTTTGGAGTTGAAGCCGGTGGCGGCGCGTTGAAGACGACAGGTGCCGCTTGGAGTACAGGCTGCGTGCGCGCAGGAAGCGGCGCCAGATCACGCCGGACCAGACGCTGCGCCTCCTCTTCAGCTCGTCTCTCCGCCTCGCGCATCCCCGACTTCCGCTCGCGCTCCTCCTCGTCCTTCTCCGCCTCTTGCTTTTTGCGCTGGCGCTGGTTCTCCTCTGTACAGAGGTAGCATTAGTAAAGAGGTGATATCGCGAGCCGATAGAGATGGACAACGTACTCTGCGCTCTGCGTTTCTTCGCCCGCTTCGACGGACCCTTCTTCCCCTCCTCTCCCTTGCCCTCAACGTCCATCGCCGCCTGCTTCGCCGCATCCTCCGTCTCCTCCCTGATATCTTCTTCAATCTCAAGGACCCTCTGCGAAACCACTTCCCCCTCCTTCTCAAAGACATAGTTCCGCACATACATCCTGAGCGCGCCATTGCTCCCCTGGCTATACAGCCACCACGCAAACCTACGCGCTCGACTATCCAGCGCATGCTCCTCAATCTCCCGCGCACCAGGGTAAGGCACGAGCCCCTCGGGCGGCGCTAGCCCGCTCTCCAATACCGTCGTGCCCGGCACTCCCTCAAGATCGCGCTCGGCCTCCGCCTTCGCCTTCTCGACCTTCTCATGTTCGCCCTCTCTCTCCTTGATAGTCTGCACCGTAAGATTGACGGCGGCAAGGCCCTCCCGCTCGCGGACGTATTCCAGGATAGCAGCGCGGCCGGCGAGGTCGGGCGTTCGGAGATACCACTCGGCGTTGTATTGGGCGGAGGTCCAGTAGAGAGTTTCGGTGCCGCGAGGGCGGGGAGGTAGCGCGGTGGCGGGCTGAGGAAGGGGCGGTGTGGGAGCGGATGGTGCGGATGGTGCGGATGGTGCGGATGGTGCGGATGGTGCGGATGGT